CCCCACTCACACATATGTATTCGCGTAAACTTTCCCCCCCTCCTTTAGAAAAACGAAGAAGGCTGCGTGTGTAGATCCAGTGGAGCCAGAAAAGGTAGACCACAAGTGAGCACAGCTTTGTGTTGTTCGTGGATGATATGCTATTTGTGTGCACCCTCGTTTATATATATTTTTTTTTTTTAACCCCCCGCACATACCACAGATACTCAGAAAAATTGAAAACTTGAATGTCGACTTGGAATACGTCCTCTGCACGCATCACCATTATGATCATTCAGGTAAAACAAAAATGGCGTCCTCCTTATGTCGGGGTGACCTGGGAAGCATCTCGACTGGGAGAGCTGCATAGATTATCAATATATATATGTTGCGTTTTTTAAAAAAGGGGGTTGTGGTTACTCCCTTTTGGGGGAAAAGACGCTATGCTCAGGGCGAATTGCAAATTGTCCCTATCCATTTGTATTTCCCTTTAACCCCTCATTTGTGTAATTGCCTTTCCCCGCTTTTCTTCACCTTTAGGAGGGAACATACGCATGAAGGAGCTGAAGAAAAAAATTAAAGTCGTTGGGTCGGCTTACGAAGCAACTCCTGGTGTCACTGAAAAGGTTTACGACAGCCAGATTGTGCGTCTAGGTAGGTGAAATGAATCAGTGCCTCGGCAGGACGCCTGTTAGAAGGAAGCCTGATTGTGGAGAATCCCTGAGAGGACGCACGACCAACTTTGCACCCCCTCCCAAAACTTCTACACCGATATGTCTACCCCACCACCCCCTACTTTCCCAGGCGATGTGTGCGTAAAGGCCATCCACGCGCCATGTCACACGAAGGGCCATATCATGTATTACGTGTACAAAGTGGATGACCAGAAAAACGAAGATAAAAACTATGCCCCCATTTTGTTCACTGGAGACACCCTATTTATTGCCGGCTGCGGCAGGTTCTTCGAGGGAAGTGCCAAGGAGATGTTTAAGAATATTGAAAAGGTTAAAGGTTTGCGCAAGGAAACCCTCATTTACTGCGGACATGAGTACACACTCAACAATTTGAGGTAAAAGTGAAAGGGGGGAAAATGAACAAAAGAAAACTGGCCGACCCCTGCGAACTGCTCCGGCGCACAACTCTTCATGCGGCATGTGAATGTCGTACCTGGCCGCTTCAACACCGCTCCAACACCACCGCTACACCACTTCTCAACGGCAGATTCGCGATGAGCTTCGAAAAGGACAACGAACACATGAAGAACAAAATGAAGGAGGTTGAAGAAAAAGTCAACAGCAGAAAGCCATCCGTCCCATCGACCATCGAACAGGAATATCTTATCAACCCCTTTTTCAGAACCCAACATTATACTGAAAAATTCGACACCACAGATGAGGTCAAGATATTGGACAAATTACGCGAGTTGAAAAATAATTTTTAGTTTGAACAACCGGGAGGGGGAGGGGTAGTTAAATACCCTGCGTTGTTCTGCGCATATGTGTCGGCCACAGGACACAAAATGATAAGGGGTCTACCCAATGAGAACACCAAACAGTGCCACAACCTACGGGAGTCTACACTCGGTGTACAAGAACAGATCCGCTTAGCACTTTTTCCACTAGAGCATTATGAGGCGTCACCTTCCTGATGTGGAACAACAGAGCCCACTTTGACGAGACGCATTCACGTCGTCACTGGCATAGTCGTCCTTGACGTATGTAATTAAGTTGCGCTCGCGCATGCGAGCACTCTGGTCAAATCAAATGCGTTTGTTCACGAACTCCTATTTAAAAGATGAGACAAAAAATGGGCCCGCTGTGGCAGATGCCATATACAATGGGCGTAACCGCGGGTATGAAATTGACATAAAAAAGGGCCCAAAAAAAGGGCGCAAAAATGACGCAAATATGGACCCAAAAAAGGGCGCAAAAATGACGCAAAAAATGGACAAAAAAAGACGTAAAAAGGAGACCCCACACACACACACGCAATGGCGCAAGGGGAAGGGACTAATTAATTCATTTTTTGGAAAAGCGAATTCAGGACAAATTTCAAAGGCTTCTTGGTCATGTCCAAGCCGAATCCATTGTGCTTGTCGTAATGATGCTTCACCACGTAGTGCGCGATCACGTGCTTTATTTCCTCGCATGCGGTGTCTGCCTCGATGTCCGTGTAGTTGTCGTTGGAGATGACGCATCCGTCTGAAAAGAGGTGGGTGAACAAAAAAAAAAAAAAAAAACACTATTGAATTAAGGGCGCACGTTAATGAGGACAAATATACTCGAATGAACAGTGAAGCCTCGCTTGGCGGACAGTGCACACATGCACTCGCGTAAATTTCCCCCCTGCCCTTTCCAGCACGCCTTACTTCTATGCGAGGCCAGCTCCAGGATCAGCACGTCGTCGTACGTGCGCCGTTTCACCACGTCCCCCTTGTAACTGTGGTAATACTTCTCGTTGCAAATCAATATGGCATTCTGCTTTATTAAATTTTCCAAGTAGGAATAATTACACACCTTTTTATTCCCCAAGAAGTACTCCTCCCCCTTCTTCGTCACAGGGTTTAAAACAATAATTATATCATCGACTTTTTTTCTTTTAAAAAAAACATATGCCTCATGTAATAAAAAGCAATCATATATTATGGACATATCTGTATCTACCACATTTGAAATGTTATTATGATGTATGACCTTGGCAGAAACATTTGCTCCATCAATTATAATGGGTCTGAATTTATATCCCTCCATGGGGATCACGTCATAGCCATTGTGTATGCTCACTAAGTAAGCGTAACAATAATTGTACAGATCCTTCTTCGTGCTACTGTGGCCGTATGAAAAATTCACTTGATTTAAGCTCTTTATATTGCTCATTGACAAAATGGGGGTACTTAATAAGGACGTTATGTTGAGGATATCTTTGGGGATACTGATGGACTTTTCATGCGGAGATGCGTACGACAGAATCCCTTTGTTCCGTTTCGACTTGGTGTACACGCGACTGTGTCTCTCCTGCGAGACGCTATCCTTCTCGTTGTCACTACTATCCACACTCAGCGCCGTAGCCTCGTTTTGTAGTACACCCCTCGACGCACTTGAAGAGGTGACGACTTCCTTTATGGGTGTGCTGGACCCCCCAGGGTAACTCTCGACCTCGTCCGACGAACTCAGGTTGAGCTCGTCTTTTATCAGCAGGGCCTTGTACGGCTGCTCGTCACACAAAATGCGGTAGCACAATTTTTGGTCTTCTCGAATGTAGGCTTCCTCAAAAGCAGGGGGTTCCTCAAAAGGGGGGGCTTCCTCAACAGGGCAGATTTCCTCTGACTGTTCCTCCCGCCCCGCCGCTCCTCCCGTACTCATCCTATCATGGTACCGCAGCACTTCCGACTTCAACACAGGGCTCGGGATTTCCCTCCTGTCGCTTCTCCTGTCCGCCCTTTTTGATATGCCTTTTTTCTTATTACTCTTTTTCTTGTCACCTCGGTTATCATGCCTGGGGGCCTCGATTGCTCTGTCTGGTGATCCACTAGACCCGTCGCTGCTGTGGGCAGGGGTGACAGACCCACCGCAGTTGACGCAGCAAAGGTCGACGCCACACCCAACGCCACACCCAACGCCGCTACTTGGGCTCTGTCCGATACCTGCCCTATCTGCGCTAATGGGGCCGCCATCCGAAAGGAAAACGCTCTCTTCGCACACGTCGCCAAAAAACTCCAAGTCGAACACGGCGGACAAATACACCATCTTCATGAGCTTGAAATTTATGAACAGGATGTTTCTGTCCCCCTTTAAAATGTAGTACTCCTGCAACAGCTCCTCCTGAGTCCTCTCTGTGCACCCCCCAGACAACTCCATACTAAGGTACCTTTCCGCCATACCCTCGTACATCCAGCAGCTGTTCTTCTTCTTCTCTGAGTCAATAATATACATACTGTAGAGCTCATCTATGAGGCAAATCAAATCATTGTATATTTCATACACGTTCACATCCACTTGGAACGAATCAATATTATTATAAAAGTGCATTTCGTAATAAAGCAATACTACGTCATATAAGTTTTTGCTAAGCAGTGCGGTGACCTTTTTCTGTACATGGGGAGTTTTATTTTTGTCCGTTGTGGTTATGCTTCCGTATATTAACTTGATGTCTGATGGAAATATTAACCCCTTGGCTTCCCCCTCCGCTCCATCCGGGCTTCTCTCCTCATTTGCGGCACTTAAAACGTTCCCTCCTACATCATCCCTTTTTTTATTACTCCTATTGTCTCCTTTGGGCGTGTCAGCCAAGGAACAATCCTCTCCTGTGTCTGTCTTCCAATTGGGGCTGTTGTCACTTTGGTCATTTGTCCCAGCTGCAGCTTTGTCCAGCACACCTAGTGACTGCTTCCCCTCTATTATTTTCCTCCGGCCTTCACTTATCTGTCGTTTGCCCTCATTTATTTGCCGTTTGCCCTCATTTATTTGCCGTTTGCCCTCACTTATTTGTTGCCTCCCTGCACTTATCTGTCGTTTCCCCTGACTCACTTGTCTCCATCCTTCACTTATCTGCAACTCCCCTTGGCATATTTGCAGTTCCCCTTCGGCTGGACTGTTCGCCTCCTCCTTGTTTGTTATGTTGTTTTTTTTCATATCACCCCCTTTTTTTTCTTTTCTCTCATTATTTGTGTGAATTCATACTGTGTTTTTTCTTTTTTCTTTTTTCATTCAACTGGGTCCGCTCTCCTACCACATTATCACAGTGTGTGTGTGTGAATTTTTTTTTTTTTTCTCTCTCTTTCTCCTATTTCAACTTTTCTGCGCTAGCAAACATGCAACCTTGAACTCGTTTAATTTGTTACAGCACTACTTTTATATCTGACTCTACAATTTTTTTTTTTTTTTTTTTTTTTTTTTTGACGGGCACATGGTTAATGTCAGTTTGTTTCATCTGCTTTTTTGTATTGCTAATCCTTCGCTTAGCGAATGCTTCACTAACGTTCTTACTCTGCTTTGATAACACGATGCATTACTCTTTATTCTGCCCTAAGTTGACTTAACTTTACTATTTCTTTGTTTTGTTTTTTTCCCTCGCATCGTTACATTTGTTAGCTATGCGCAGGAGCACAATTCATTCCTGTAACCTCTTTCCCCTTTGTGATTTTTTTTTTTTTTTTTTTTTTT